CCGTGACCACTGCAATAATGGGCGCTGTAATCACACCACACTCTGCCCAAGCTGCATTGTAAGTGATAGCCATGTGTAGAGCATAAATTTCATGGTTTCACCTGCCAACACAGAAGGACAGAGATTGGTAGCAGGTGCTGAGCAGAACTTGCCAAAACAATCTACTCCATTATTCGCTAGGTGTGTTTTATTAGCAAAATGAATTAAAAGCCAATTTGGGAAGTTGGAAATAAAAGAACTCGGCATATTACATGGAAAGTTTCTATGAGGTATGAGCTCAGGATTACACCGCTCCGTTCAAAATCGGAGAATTGATTGCATGATTATATGTCCTGGCTCGGCTTCCAAAGTGTGAGAAATATCTGACAGGGGCTGAGCTGGATCCCACTGTGTGAGACAGGATTTTACATTGTCCTTATTAGCTACAAACAGCGGGGGGAACTAGTGGCTTATGTATAGCAACAGACTGCCAGCAGGTTTTCTTCCTTTGTTCTCTCTTCTTGTGCCTTTCTGTCTCTCACTTTTCCTTCCACCTCATCTGTCATACACACTGAAGTGTCAATTTTGAAAAGTGAACAGAACAAAAGCGAACTATCCCCTACCTCAATTTTTTTGGGGGGGGGGGTTGACCGTTTGCCTGGACCAAATCAGTCAATTTGCCATGGAAACTACACACAAAGGTACATCTAATTACTGGAGGGAGATAGTTGATGGACGGGAGACGGACAAGAAACAGCAAGCTGCCAACAACAGAAAGACTCTAAGGCAAAGCATGCTGACGTAGGTTTAAATGCTCTTTCTTGTAAGACAAGTCTGAGGAATTTGAGGGGCCAACGAGGGGATGTAAGTGCTTCATTACTGGTGAGGAAGAACACCGGGTGGGTAGGACAGAGACACACAATTGTGTTGACCTCTTATGAGCTCGACCTTTGCGAGGAACTGTTAAAGTGAAAGTTACACTGAGAGGAAGACGGAGCAAGAGAGGGAGAAAGGGCTTTAATAAGGCACTAAGAGAATAGACGCGCATCGCTCCACTGCACCGTGGAAAGTCAAGGTGAGAGGGCGGGGCAGAGGCAGATGTCAGTCTTTGGAGCACGGTCATGTTTATGAGTCATCATAAATGGTCAGCACATCTTTTCTGCCAGGGGGCAGCCTTACTAATCTGTAAAGTGCATGGGGGGACATGTGCAAACTATACTCGTACAAAGAAGAAGGAGTCGTCTGGCAGATGAAAAATGAGTGTCCCCTGATGTTCACATGGCTCCATTTACTGGGGGTAAATATAAGCAAATTCTATTTAGCTTTATGTATTAAGCACTTCTTTGGTGAAAATCCCATTATGTATCAGTTTCTTCTTTATTGATCCCCCTTTCTATCAGTGCTATTTTACCTCCCTCATTGTTCGAAGTGCTATTTCCTCTCACAAGAAGCACACAGCTCAAATCAGATAATTATTCAGACGGTAGCAGAAATGATGAATATGATGCCTTGTGCTGTGACACTGCCACACAGCACTGGCACTCTAAGTAGTAATTGCTGTAACCCCCCCCCCCCCCCCCCATCACAACTGATGGAGCAGATCAAATCGCAAATTAATAAAATCAATATTATATCTGTGGCATGTGTTCATCGATTTAGCACACTCCTCTGCCATTAATAACGGCAGATCTGATTGTACAATCTCCCCCGGCTTATAAAGATATGGAGAAGAGAGCGGTAATTTATCCTAAAAGAAAAAAAGCTCCCCAAGCAGGATACAGATAAAAGCTGTCAGTGAAGGTGGTAGAGAAGAGAGGAGGGGCAGTTGAGATTGCGAAGTGAAGGAACAGAGGGAGCAAATAAAGGGGTATAGCGGGGGGAAAAAGAAGTGAGAGCACTTGAAGACAAAATGTAAGTGAAAGCGAGGGAGACTTGGGAGAAAAAGAGTAGAAGGGCAGAGATGGGGAGGTTGTCAGTGGAATACAGAGTCAAGACTCCACCACTGAAGGAGAGTTGGAGTCATGGGTGGCTGCTTCTTTTATTAGACACTCAAATCCTTCAGTCTGTCTCAGGAACTCGGTAAGGAGACTTGTGTTGAAAGCCCATCCACAACTGAGCTGCCATGTCCCAAACCATATCCCTTTTGCCAATGTAAATACCTGAGTATTTGTCACAAATAAATGAGCAAACCAGTCCAAGCTATTTTGCATGTATCCTTTGGAGATTTCAACGTCCATTGATCTAGAGTGTCATGATCAATTGTGAAAGACAGGTGGTAAAAATGTAAGTTGGCTCATTCCAGCCAAAAGGATTTGATTGCCTTATTTGGGAGGTAGAAAGCGAGTCCAGTGGGCTGTTACAGATGAATTGCATTCACACCCTGCAATAAAACGCGTGTCAAAGTTGGTCTCCAGTGACTGACTGTGATTACACTTTGCTTCAGCGGTCAACATACAAATAAATGCCTCCATGAGTTCTGCAATGTTTATGCATTGCCAGCAGATTTCTTTATCCTTTGATGGTTCTGGGCACAATCCAGAGTTACACCAGACGGTACCGCCGTTTCCTTCTCCGGTGCGCCCTAAAAAGCGGCCCCCACATTACAGGAACAAAGCTGCCAGAAGCAGTTTTCCAACAATTCAGGCAGACTGTTCTGTGTTTGACTTGGCTTTTGTTAAGGAATTTGAGCATATTATTAAAAAGATGGTGGAAGGTGGGTAGTTAAGACTGAATGGGTATGCTGTGAATCCCATGGGTCTCAAGGAATTTCCATGGGATCGGACAGCAATTACATTGTTTCACAGGTATCTGGACAGGTAGCAAAATCCTGCCTCCGCACTGGATAGGAGAATTTTCCCATGTTGTCATTATGTGTGAGTATGTCATATACATTCAGTAAAGGAAAAACAGTAGCCTTACATGAAAGAAATGGAACCAGCGTAGGATGGGTGGATCCCGCTGGATTCCCATGCGACAGAAGGGCTATGACATTGTGTGATCTGGATCGGGGCGGGTCGGGCAAATTAAGGCACTATGGACAGCCATAATGTGTGACCATGTCCATAACATCATTTTTAAAAAGTGACTTAAAGTGAAAGTGATGGGTTTAAGATGGAATGGGAGTGGCTATTATGAACAGGTCCCATGTGTGGGATTAGGAAAAAGTCAAGCAGGATCACTCCTTTCACCCTATAGTTGGCAATGAACACTTTTTGACTATGAAGAGAGCAAGACTATAAAGACCAAGAACATGGACATATTCCCACACTAATGCCCTCACTATGCTGGGTAAAAAAACACTTGTACAGTGCCAGTTCCCAACACTGGGACAATGTCCATCTTGGCTTCTACAGATAAACCTTGATGTTAAAACAATGGCATGCTAGTTTCAAAATCTGAGTAGATGGAAAAAACAAGTCCATCTTGGCTTCCTCAGGTATGTAATTTTTGGACCAAATGATAAAGCAATGGCAAACTTGTAGTAAATAGGAACAATTTTGAACCAAAAGTCCACATTTGGCACTCAAAGCAAAGCACGCAGACGGCTGATAAAAAGTTGTGTAACTGTAGTGCTGTATCTTCAGTTGGGTCAGTGTTCTACATCGACACCTCGGAAAGACACTGACACTGTGTGGCCAAGATAGCAAAATGTGCATATTGCAAAAAGAGTCCGGTAAAAAAAGAGCCATCTGCCAGCTCTGGATCACAGGTAGAAATGGGTTTTACTTCACAACATGAAAGCTCCTATCAGGCAGGCTACTGAGAGAGCCATGTAAGGACATCAAATGTTAAAAAGATGGTTTTGATTTAAATTTGAATTATTAGAGTCCGCTTGAACCCAGCAGCTGCAGACAAGACAGATAAATGCCCATGACCAAATATTTCCAGTTTTATATCATTTCTGAGCAAGCCATACAACATGTCAGGATTCCCGCCAGGCATAATTACTGTGTCTTTGGTGTTCCACTTCAAAAGGTCATTTTAACACAATACATAAGGTCATATGGCAATGTCCATGCCACTTCCTCTAGCCTCACCTGGACTTCCTCTCTGTGTGTTCATCCTGTTACCCCACGCTGATCTTTCCATTCCCCGCCCAAATGTTTCCACTCAAGTTATGTGCAGCCTGACACTGTTTTTCACCTGCTGCAATAATTAAAACCTTTTTTATTTACTTCAGAGATGCCTCACTGGTCTGAACATTAACTGGCGTCCACTGAGCTGAACTGAACCGAAAACAACAAGTATGTTTCATTTAGATGAATGGCCTTTCTCGCTGTTAAGCTAACAGATACATGACATGATCAGACATGATTCCTCAAAGATATTAAAGTACTGTGAACTGGTGGGGGAAGGGGGGAGCTGATGGGAGGGTACTGACAAGCACCATCTGAAAATGAAAAGCAGCTAACACTGTCTCTGACAGAACAACTGCAGTTTGATTCTTTTTAGCATGGTGTTGACATAATTCCCACACAGTGGCATTATTCTGGATGACAAATCTACATTGGTCTCAAATGATGTGCCTATTGTATCACTTTAATACTGTATCTACATTAAATACATTATTGCATTCACATAAATTACACAACCAATACCCTACAGAAGAACATCATTATATTACAAAACGTAATTGATAATACGGGATGAAGAATATTAAAGAAAGTGTTGATCTCCTGTCAGTTACAACAAACAACAGTATCGCATCTGTGGGTAAACATTCCTCCACACTGATATAATGTATCTTTTATCACATGTAAACACTGTCAATAATATTTCCTGTACTCATACAAGGTGTCAGATTTTTTGGATCATGAGAATCATTACTCGTCTCCACATCCACCGTCTTAATGTGTTCTACTATAATGGATGACACATTTAAGGTCTTTTTGAACATTTGGAACATCACCAGCATGGATGTTTACTGGGTTGTTGATGAGTCACTGCTGTTAAGAGGAAATGAGAATGAGTAAGAGCATTAGGAGGTGCTTAAGAGTGTGAGGGAATTAAGGAATACATACTGTAGGGTACACATTCATATTGGACTTCCAGATATTTGTAGGTTCCCGGGCAAGGGTCAGGAAATACATCTGGTCCAGCCACAACAGCACACTGGGTCCGGTTATTACATCTGAAAACAGAGAAAGCAACATGAGACAATCTTGTCCTTCTGAAAGGCCACAGTACATAGCAGCACATTAGTCAGATGATTAATGTGGTTAATGAAGTTGAAAGTATTTAATTATGTAGCAGCAATTATAACGTTTATAACTGGTCATAGAAATAATTCACCCAGTCTTCCCTTAAATATATATAGGAAATCAGCAAATGTTTATATTTGGGCACTGAGGTGTGCTCCACTGTTTATCAGGTTCACTGTAATTGTCGTGGGAAGTGCTACTTAGCTTGTGAAAATAAAAGTGAAGCATTTAATCGCTGGAGTACCCCTTTCAGCCCGAGAAGCTTGAACAAGGACTAGATTTTATATTATTTAAGAATAACAGTTGGATGTAAGTGTTGAGGTCAGATGTAGACTGACCTTAAAATTTGATAGGGTTATTTAAAAAATGCATGGAGAGATGGCATAGACTGAAGTGTACTGTGTTTTAGGCTGCAAAAGTATATATTTTTTGCCATTTTGAATTGAAACAATGGGATTCAATCTGACGGGTTAAGTTTTGAATTTAAGAATATATATCTTGAAATATTAGTTGCAGTGTGGTATGGCATATCATTTATGGACATCTGTATTTTTCTTGTTTTATCTCTCTATGTAAGAGAAATTGTATTTTGTATAAGCAAGTTTGAAGGGGTGACTAAGGTTGCTTTAGATACATTGACCAACTGATGGACTACATACAAGGAAAGATGAAACGGAGAATAAGTTGAACGGAGAAGAGTTGTGTGACATTTTTAATGTAAGAAATTGTGGCGTTCACTATTCGTTTTAGGCTCTGGAGGCAAATGTCATGGGTAAATTCATCTTTCTGTGGAGGAGTAGAGTTGGACATCATGGACCTACAACCAGGCTTTAAACCATGTACAGGTTACATTGTTATTACTGCATGATGGATGGCAGTGGGGGGGTAGACACAATCAACTGAGTGCGAAATCAGCTCCAACATGAAATGTAGGTCTTCATTAAAAAATACAATTATGGTGCCGGTGGTGTTCTCATGTGCCATTTTGTTTTTGGCAGTCATCAATCAAAGCCCCACTTCATATGCACAGAGAGCCTCTCGCCACACATAATAGCAACACTTATCTCACAACATTAACTCTTAAATGTTTTGACGTATTGATCTGTTGGTGCTTTGCATCTGTTTGCAAAATGAAAGTCAGGTCGCCCCAATCTCTATTTGAGCACCTATTGTGTGTGTGATCTTCATGATGGTGACTCGTGCTACAAGCTACAGTACATCCAGGATCGCTGTCCATCAAATCCATACTCATTTACGGACTACCATTATCTTGCAATATATAAAAGGTATTTATTCCCCCAGCAAGGCTGTTCACAGTGCAAGTCTTGTGAAGGTCAAGGCGGGGTCTGACACAATGATTCATACTCCACAATAAAGGATTCTCTACACCTTAATTAACATTGATTGGCTGCCGACTAATCAATCGAACCAGTGAGGGACAAGCAAAAAGGGGCTCATCTCATTTCAAGCCAACCCAGTAATGAGATATGGTCTGCAGAGTCTCTCCCATGCGAGCTTTATGGGTTCATGAACCCAGCCCCACCGCCACCCCCACCATCACCCTCTACCACTCACTCACTCACTCACTCACGTCAGCTGTCTGCGGCCTGTCGCTGCCTATGAAGAGTTAATTCCCAGGCAGTAAATGCCAGTCAAATAAATAAGGGGTCAAGTCTATGAAACTGAGAAACAATTATAGAGGCGGCCTTCTCATCACAACACCTTTCTCTTTACAATAATTCCTGGTTTTCTGGTTCTATTTCGAATTGGGGGGGAGGCAATCAGCAGGTGAGAACACAAATTAAGTGCCACACAGAATTAGAAGTGAGATGGATAGAAGAGACATAGCTAGCTAGAGTTTGGAGCTAAGACACACACACACACACACGTTTGTTTTTTTAGCAACATAGATATAATTGTTGGCTTGTTTTGTGCGTGGACAACATGAATATATGTTTTTGTTTACTCAGTGATACTGCCCTAGAAGTTAAGCTAGGACCAAATCTGAAATTTTAATCATAGTTTGTAATAACTTCCTCTCGAAGGGATTAAACATCATAATGCGTATTTAACGTGGATTGCAAACTTAATCCGAGCCTCAACATCTATCTTGACCCATATTCAAAATCCCTTTTATCACTGCTGTGCATTTCTACCTCAATTTGCACACGCGGCCACAAATACCTCCTGATTGGTTTTCTGTAAGTGTCCTGAAGGCACCCACATCTTTGCAGGGGGAATAATATAAGTTAGAGAAATAATTACAATTAAATGTATCAAGTGCAAATCAATGGCAGAGTAGGAGGGAGATCGATAGTGGGAGAAGCTGCCCGCACCACGTGCCACAACGACTTCACAATTACCAATTAGGGGGTAATTACGATTTCATCAGACACTTGGCTCTCATGGAGCCCTTTGAACTGGCTGGGAAAGAGAGAAATGGATCCACTTTGAGTGATGTATTTAAATATGTATAGGAATATGTGGTTTACAAATGCACTATAGGAGGAAGAATTCAGCAGGTGGTTAGAAGTTACTGGAGGCCAAATACTCTAATTGGCGCCTTGCTGGAAGCTTGGCTTCCACTCGCAAATGGGAAACAAAAGGATGATCTTTGAAACCTACACAACAGTAATTCATCAATTACATGTGTTATCACTTCTCTACTGGAGACACAATGACAGAAAATGATAGCATCTGGATATGTAACCCTCTATCAGAGCTGAGATTCTAGAAGATGACGCAAAACTCAATTTTGCAATTTGGCCACCAACTTCCCCTTTATATCAGCATTCCCACTTTTCCTCCCTTATAGCATTTTTCCTCCTGTTCCCTCATCTGCTGTTTGTTATAACCGGCAGATTAGAGCTCAGACTGCCAGCTGACAAGGGGAGATGTGGCACAAAGCACAAGAGCCCTATGTAAGCACAAACTGTAATGACTATAATCGCTGGCTGATCCTGCTGCTGCCTCTGATGTAAGAGGGTTGAGCCCCCTCAGTCTACTGACCACTGACACAGGATAAAAATATAAACAAATGGATAAATGAATGAACGAATGAATGAAATAAGGAGAAAGACAAAGAGGACACGGCCAGTAGTCTAAGACATGGACGGTGCAGCTGCTGTCAAAGCTAGACAGATTTGTCTACATTGGGGAGTAATAAAAGAGAATTGGTGTGCACCACTGTTCCCTTTCAGAACTCAAGTGATTTATATCACAAGGAAAATACCAACCAAGTGGAAGGAGAGAAAAGGTTCGGCAGCTTTTAAAAGTTCACGAGATAAAAAAAAAAAATGCAATGCTGAATGTTCTTCCAACACGGCAACTGGCTTTGGGTGATTTTTCATAGAATCCATATCAAAGAAGTTTGCCTGAAGTAAGTCAAATAAGAAAATAAGAACAGAGATGGTTCAGCTGTAGTTCTGCTCTGAAGGGCCCCTTTCTGTTTGGAGTTCTTCCACAGTTTGGATATGTTTGATGAAACAGCCCCTGCCAGGGAGCACAAAGTCTCCATTTGCTTTCAGTTAAAAAGAGCAAACATGTCCAAAGTGCCCCACCTTCAAAAACACACACACACACACACACACACACACACACACACACAGCTATTAGTTCTTGAGTTAAGAAGAGAAAAGAATTCACAAGGTGCTTTAGGAACATAGTGTGTGTGTGTGCAAAGACAAAGTGCATGTTGGTACTGTTTGCCTTGTGAACACTTCAGTGTGTGTCGGTGTGTGTCAAGCTGTGTACACACTCGTGAGAGTTTGTATTTGTAAGACAGGGAGGGAGGAGAGCGGAGAGTGACGGACGGGTCAATATCCCCGTCCCTCTGCTGGGACCCATTACGTTTTAGTGATGGTCTTTGCCACCAACGGTCGACTTCATTCATTATCTTTCCCAGCTGCACGCCTCAGCATCCATCTTTTCTCATTCATCCTGTCTCCTGCGCAGCACACAAAACTCCCATCTCAAGAAAATGTTGCAAGGGGAAGCAACGGCCTACAGCATGGTGCATTCTTGTGAGTAAAACCAGGAAGTGTTAAAAGGTATCTGTGTCGACTAGTGTAGCTCCTTTACAGAAAGAGGAATTGTTCAAATAGAGAAGCTTGTTAAAGACCATATGTATCAAGTCCTCTGTTGTGGAGCTGCTATAGAATAATGTGTCTTGTATATGTTCCAATTATAGGGAGTAACCACAAAAGGTACCTCAATCTGGGGATTATCAAACAAACTCTAACAGCTGTGCTCTCTAAGTGCTGCCTCTGCTTCCACTCTGGAGGGACGGGCGTATGTGAAACTACACAGATTTTATTAACTGATTCGCCGCAAGTGCTGTGGACAAACTAAAAGGGTGTTTCAAGCGGGAGGATTATGTAAACAAAAAGATTACATTCATGTTTTGTTGGTAGTAACTACAGCTGGAAAGTGGCAAAGCTTTTCATTTCAGTGTGACATCTACTGCAATATCACATGCACACACTTTCTTGTAAACTGGTACTAGAGCTTGTCGTAGTAACTACTTGCATTGTGTCCAGTGGCTTTGATTGGTTGTGGCTAGTATAACTTGTTGGCAAAAACGATATGGAAAGGAAAGCTCTATTGGCGTTGCTTTTCAAAAGGCAAAAAAAAGGTTATACTGTAACATCAGATGGTGCGACACAACTGATATGATAGCTCCCCCCATTTTTGACTCATGGATCATTTGGATTTTTTTTTTTTTTTTTTAAACTGTCCATCATGAGTCTGAAAACCTTGTAGGAGTGCAATGCAGTGGAGGCCTCTGCGCTGCTTAAGTACACACTATCATTTTTACTAAGCATACTGCAAAAGCGTTTTGCACTGGAATATAAATAAAAGGACAAAGAGACAAAAGAAAACAGCCTTAGGTGTTCATATGCCTATGATCACTGTCCCTATTTAATGAGAA